CATTCCGTTTTTTATCAGTAAATTAGTTATCGTTCCCTTGTAGTTTGGTCGGGTAATATCGCGTTATGGTGCTGTCTGTAGGATGTTTGATAAGCTCGAGCAAGCAGTATCGATTGAAATATTCCTTTCATTATAAAAATATATATTTAAAAATTTGGAAATTACATGTTTTATTAATTCAAGTGGTTTTCATAAATTTGACATACTTTCGAACTCGATTATTAGTTGGTAAGATTCGTGTAAATTATTTGAAGATTTGAAATAGTTTAGAATAAAATAAAATAAAAAATAAATTCGATAGCGATTTTTGATAGAAGATAACGAGAGAATTTTTTAACCATGCGAAGTTATTAATATTTTTTATAAGCATATATTGCGTTTATTATTTACAAACATATATTTACTGTTTTATGTAATGAAAATGAGACTTTCTCTCGCAATAGATTTTTATATAATCTGTAATAATATTTAAGTAAAATATTTAAATATAAATAATCTACTATTTTTATTTAAATGATAAGTAGAAATTCAATTTAGTTTTAAACTTTCAGCGTATTCAATATTTTATGTTATATAAGTTTAAGAGTTTTGTTTACTTCAAGTTGATAAGTATATATAAAGTCCCTGATATATAATATAATGAAAATAGTTCTATTTCAATCAATTTTCGCTTGAAAATATTATTCTGAAATGCATTTTTTAAAATAACATTCTTGTTTTTCTATTTCGTTTATTTGTTTTTAATATTTCGTGATGTAGTTCCCTTGGAAAAATAGATTTTTAAGCGCGAACATCCAATGTAATGTGAATCGATGATTAATAGATTCATTTCATTTAGTTCCAACACAAAAAACTTCAGTTCAAAGGTTTAGTACAATTAAATTCTTATTAAACACATTTTCTTAAATTAATGACGAATAAATCAATCTTGCAAAATAAAATAATGTAATATTATAGGAAATAATTATTAAATTAATGAATTAGCGTTGGAATGCTTACGCAGCGACAAAAAAAAGAAAATAAAATGTTAATTAAACTCAATTCCATTTTAACGTTGGCCTGTTCAATGGTTTCCTCAAAACCTTTAATTATACATTTTCATAAAATATCTTCATATACATACATATATATATATATATATATATATATATATATAAGAGATTTCATAATCTTAAATGTATAATGTAAAGCTTTGAATTAGAAAATAAAAATTTTGGTTGTATTGATTTTTATTAGTGGAGAAGAGGTACATGCGTGCATCGTGAAGTTGAGGAATTTTCGTCAAATGTACACACACATATATGTATATATACATATATTTGTAAATATCTCTCGATCTAATAATCTATATAATAAAATATTTGAAAGAGGAGACTTTGGATATAATCACGAGACGAAACGTGGCTGGAGTATAATTAATAAAAAATAGATGTGGTCTATGTTTTGTGTCGTCGCGACGACGGCTAATCAAAAAAATCATAAAGTTTGGCTGTTAGGGGGTAGGGGGAGGGGCTGGAGTGAGAGGTAAAATTGGTGCTGGTAGGAAGGAACATTCGCTTTTGGCTCGAAGAACGTTGTAGCACTAACTTAATCTCCCGTGGGAACCTTTCCCTCTGCCTATTATACACATACACGCATACGAGCGCCACACAGTCATGGATACGCGTCTGAATATAAGCATACTTATTCTCTGTTCATTTTCGCGAAGTGAAGCTGTAAAATGCAGGGGACGAATTCCCAGGGCGTTGTTGGTGGTTATTGTCGTTGAAAATTCTATCACATTCGAGACTTTTAATTATCATTCTCTTCAAACTCAGTTGCTGCGGTAATACGGTAATTCGAGATTTGTCGTACATACAGTAGTACCAGTACCGTATTAATTATTCATTATGTATTTTCTCTCTATTTATCGACATACACGTAGTATAGCTTGTAATATATGTATTGAATAAAAAGAATAAAAAGATAGTGGAGTATTTTTTCTTTTTTAAATTAAAAACAAATTTTTAAACAACATATATATTTAATATTATATTGATGTTGCCATCGAATGTAAATGCAGCTAGATAATTATGTTTTACTGAAACAGCATTAATAATATTTTATCTAACTAATTATTTTGATAGTTGTACATGTATCTATGAATATGAAACTAGTAGAAAGAGAAGAAATTAAGAACACAAATTGTTAATGAAAATAGTAGATTTCTAGTAAGAGAATAAATAAAATAAACTACTCCAAGTAATATTGAGTACAAAATCCACTACATTAAACATAGAATTTCGAAACGACATAAAATATTATGCTATTAAACATTTATGTAAAATATTGCACACCAAAAGTAGAAATTAAAGAATGATTTTTAAAAACCTCACAATGCATTCGTATATATTGCGATGAAGTGTATTGTTTACGTACAAACGATATTGTTTAAAATAAATATAGTGAGTCGGCCTATTGAACGAAATAATTTCTTTTGTCTGTTTGTCCATTGATTATAAGCTGTTTGTAACGAATACGTAATCGGTGTAGCTGAGCTATTGTCTTCAAATACCGTTAGCCCTTTTATATCATCCATTATTTACATATTTTTAACACAAAAAGGATATACATTGATTTTCAATTATTTATTATACTCGTGAGCATTATTCTACTTATCATACTTACAGATATATCTTATCGTTAAATCTTATATTGTGATTTCGAAAAAAATAAATTTCAATCCCAGTAAGATTGTATAAATTAATGCCAAATTGCGCTGTGAAACGGCATTATCGCATAATTATATCTTTTAATATAGATTAAAATGAAATCAACAATGTATTTGTAAAACAGTGGAAAATTTTTAACATAATTGGCATTGATTATTTGAAAGAGAAAGTTCATTGTATTTAAATAAATTTTAATTTTTCATATATATCTAGTAGAGGTAATTACTCGCATAGGCTCATCATCACTCGCGCACGCATAGACTCAAGTACCCACGCACGCATGCACGCTCCCACACACAAACGTATAGATATTAATAAAACGAATAATAGTTAAGCGAAGACAATATGTAATTTAGAAGATTTAAAAAATTCAATAACACCGAGATACCAATATATTATTAGTGATTTCTCATTTAATCCTTGTTCTCTACTATCTACGCTGCGCGCGTGCTTATCGCATATGAATGTGTCTGCATGCACGATTCTATAGTTGTGATTTTGTATTTTAGCGCACACGTTCAATGGAAAGCTTACACAGAGGCGATGGAAGAGCGACACGCGATATGCATAGAAGTGTGTAGAGATAAATCGGAGAGCGTTATTTGGAATAATGATTTAGTTTTCTATGGGATAAACTGAAAGTGACAAAGACGGGATGAGAGAATGATAGATTGACGCAATAATGGTAAAATAAGATTTCAGTGGTAATATATATATATATATATATATATATATATATATATAGATAGATAGATAGAGAGAGAGAGAGAGAGAGAGAGACAATTTGACTATATCTTAATGTGATTTTGAAAAATTATCAATATTTGTAAATTGTTGGAAATATTCTTGGAATTCTTTACATATTTTTACATATTTTTAACTATGTTAAAATTACTTCCCACCTAGGAAGAGTTTATTATTTATATTTAAATTTAAATTAAATACTTTCATATATCTAAATTGTAATTTAACTTATGGATTCTTAAATAAGATTTATAAAGTCACTCTTAATAAAGATAAGCGAGGAAGTTGATGATATGGTAGAACAACAAGAAGCTTTATATTCAGTAGTGAATTTCAATTAGATATTTTGCCACCGTAAATTTAAACAAAAATTTTAACGGTAAGCACAACGAAGTGTATTATTATTATTAATCTATTATGTTTGTTTAAAAAATATTTTATGTAAGCCTATTTAGAATATTTTTATATCAAAGCAAATCTCAACTTTGTATTTTAAATCGAAAGCGTTTCACAATTTTATTATTTATATGAATTCATTATTTCAGTAATTTCAATAATTTCTCATCTTAAATTACCATACAATTGTTAAATTCCTTATTATTCAATCTAGTAATTGCGATTTTAATATAAACTAATGCAAAGTAGACATTATGTTAGTTTACTTTATATTGATGGGTATGAGTACATTTGCTTGTACTAAAACAAAAACAAAAAACAAGCCAACAAAAAAACACAAAAACAAAAAACAAAACAAAAAAAGACAAACGTGGATAGTTTATAAACATTTTAAAACTCTAACGTTTATAGTAAATTCTATAGAATAGCTATTTAATAGCATCACTATAAACAGTTTAAAGATGATTGAGCCTTTAAAAAAAATTTACAATACACTAACGATATTATAATTACAATGATCTACAATGAGCTTGACAATTTTACTGCAACATTTTTTCATAACTTATTTTATCAATTTTATATAAATGTTAAAGGATCGACTTTTCAAAGACCATTAAGAATGTCATTATTGTCAAAATTCTCGAAGCTTTAATGCTCGGATTATTTAATGGATATTCCACGTGAAAAACAGATGGAGCATTCGCATCCGTTAGAGAAACACCATCACACAGCCATAATAACCCATCATAGCCTCATCTTTTTCTTTCATTCTCTCCTTTCACGCTCTCTCTCTCTCTCTCTCTCTCTCTCTCTCTCTCTCTATCATTGGGCATTTCTATGGTTGGGCGTAGTATCGTTGCGCGCAACTTAATTGTTGTGCAACTCAAGTGCCCGCGAATACCGAAATGTACATAGGTAGGCACAGTCGTGAAACGATTCCAAACTATCCTACTTTATTATCAAAGGGCGAAATCATTATCATAAGTCACGTACGCTCTCCCCTTGTGCCTCTGTATAAGTATAAGACCATCTAATAGCCGCGTATCGTGTTGATAGGTGCAATTGATAAGCGTAAGGATAACCAGATAAAAATTATAAGAACGAGGAGATTAACAAAGGAAACATTGGCTTGCTGGGTAGTTTCTTTACCTGCCGGAACTGCCTAATGCCGCCATTGATCCGTAAAGAGTCGGCGGCTATACCGGCGATGCCGTCGCCGGGTTCCCGAAGCTGCCGCAGCGAGGCGGCGCTCGGCGTTGCGACGCCACTCGCGCCCGTATGCAGGGGGCAGCTACAACCCGCGCAGCAGCAGCAGCAGTTGCCGGAGGAGCCGCCAGTGCCGGTGGCCGCCTCCGGCTGGGAACTCTGGCGAATCATGCGAACGGTCGGCGAGCTGGTGACGAGGACTGCCGGGGGCAGGGTACTGCCTGAGCCGCCGCCGTACGGGCCGATTATGCTCGAGGAGAGGGTCGTCTGGCATGGGCAGCAGTGGTGGCCACTTCGGACGCTCTCCCTGGAACAGGTCGAGCACACGCTGTCAGAGGCTCGTAGGGTCTGCTACCGCGAGCCTGGATGTCTCGGGAGGGACGCGCCCTCGGCATTTGGGAGAGGGCCCGGGCACTCGTCGACCTCTACGCACGAGCGGCGCCTCACCACCGAGGACGAGACCCTCCTCGTATTCGGCTTTTTACATATTTTTCATGAATTTAAGGCTTTTATAATTGCTGGCACTCCTTATTGTTGAAAAATCGTCCCATGGGAATTCGTTGGATTGAACGGAATTACGGAACAATACCATTTAAGATGTCGAATACACTGGTTTAAATTTTAAAAAGATTATCTTAAGCTTACATCCATCGATTAAATTGCATTTTTTATAAAAAAAATTCGAGAATAAATTGTCCATTACTTTGATCGATGAAGAATCTAGTTCAATAATAATTATTGTTTTAACAATAGCTTTTTATAATATGGCATTGGCTTTACTAGTTCCTATCGATTAATTGGTATTTACTTAATAATTAGTATTGCATTAATTATCATTTTATTCATTAATTATTTGAATTATCTACGACAATCTTATAACGTCAAATAGAAATATTCTTATATATATATATATATATATATATATATATATATATATATATATATATATATATATATATAATAGTATGTGTAATTAGGCGATTTTTTTTTGTTGTATTTGCGCATTTTTATATCCAGAATATTTCCATTGATCTGAAAAATAATGTAATTTTTTTTTATTGAAATTATTGAGCAATAAATAGTTACTTCGATTATATTCCTTGTCAATTAGTTTTAATACTTTTTGACATATTTCTGATAATGGCAACGGTTCAACGCCATAACAATTTAAACTTGGTAAAGTTTTGATCGAAGCAACAGTGAAATTGGAAGTTTTGCCATCAAAATAATCTACAAAGAGGGAGAAAACTAATATTTGCAGGAGATAAGATTTGATGAACGTGATAAGGAAGATTATATAATCTATTAAAGTTAAAACTGCCACTGTCGATATGACAAATTTAAACGAGGTTGCAAATCATCAGTGGGAAAAATAATATCTATTTTATAAATTTTCAGTTCTTTTTTGTTACTGAGACAACTAAAGGTTATTTAACTTCTTAGACTATACTCGGAAAATATATGTGAAATTATTTCATAACAGTTCAACGCGTAAGAAAATTCTCGAAATTTCCACAGACTGCAAATTTTACTTTATTCCTGAATTATGCTTTACATATGCTTCGAGTCCACTCAATTATTCTACTTCACACTTGCTCCTATTAAATATTATTAATAATAATTTATAATTATATTGTACCTAAAAAATTATAATATACACCATGAATGTAAAGGCGATAGAAAAAAGTATATTTCTTTTAAGGAGTGAAAACTCGAATATGAAATTCTGAACCAAAGTATGTCATATCTCAATGAAGGATGGAACACGGCAGGATCTATTTATTATTTAGTTGTCTACTTCTTCAAACAATAAAATTTATTTTTTCTTAATTAATAATCTATTATAATAATAAATAATCAATAATAATAACAAATTGATAATAAGAATAATTCGTTATCAATATTTAAAATAATACCTTAGCATACTTGCCATTAAAGTCATTAATCAATTTTGACAAATAATACTAATAAATAAGATAATTAATACATTTTATACAAAAATAATACCAGATTGTATTTGTAAATAAATTATTTTCCTATTGCTTTCAAAGTTAAATTTATAATGTATTATCAATGATCATACGAATTCATATAATTCAAAATATAAAAATATAATATATTATATTTAGAAGTATATAATTTGTCTAATAATTTAAAGAAATTATGTATTTTAAATACTTAATTAATATTTTTGTAATTTTGTCTTTTAATTATATTTAGTATTCATTATTATAGAATTGTTGTTTATAATATAATTATTATTATAGAAAATACGTTATTTATCAATAATGATTTATATGGACGCGAAAAAATATAGAATACTCTTGTAACTTAAATAATAGTAAAATATTTATAAGTATTCTTCATTAATAGTAGTAACTTCTTAAACTACTAATTCTAATTAAAAACTTAGATAGGAGTTTTTGTGTATTCACCATATAAATTGAAGTTTACAAGAATAAAATGTAACAATGGATTAATTAAACTCTGTACATTAAACTAATGACTTCACCAATAAGTTATAAATGTAAAAGGATAGTTTAAATTGTATTTTGAATAACAAGAAATTTATGAAATAGAATATTAATATACAATTTTAATAAAAAACTGAAAGCTTATATTATTTTTTTGTTTTTTGTTTTTTTTTGTTTTTTTTTTTTTTGTTATATACATTTTATTTTATTTTTTTATTTTTCTTTACTTTACTTTATTATTAATTAATATATATATATATATATATATATATATATATACATGACGAATAATTTAAATATATTAACATGCATTTTTTAATGTTTAAATTTAAGTGTTTCAGTGTTTAATAAATTAGTTTAAATTTATGTCAGTATATTTAATTGATTCCACAGTAGTATATTTTTATGTAATATTTTAATGGAAAATTATAAAATTTTGCATTTATATAATAATTAATTTAAACAATTCATTTCTTAAATGTTGATAATTTATATTCTATTTGTATAGATTATGTATTAAATCATTTTTGTACATTATTTAGAAAATTAAAACATAATAGTACATACAAATTATATATATATATATATACACACGCACACATATGACATATAATACCATATCCTACATTATGATTATGGGATAAGTAATTAAATGTTTATAAATATTTAGAAAATATTAAGTTTATAAATAAGGGAGTTACTCAAGAGAAATTATATGTTGTTAAACACGGTCGATAAAAATACATAAAGTAAAAATAGATATGTTTTTTGTAACAACGAATATTATTTATTATTCACTTCAACCATGATGTTCAGTTTTTTAATTAACTTTTTCACATTTGACTTGTAAATATTTTATCAGTTTTGAGTGCAATGTATAACTAACTTATGAATAAAATCCAATATACTATACTGTATATTATTTTAAAAAGTTATAAATTTAAATTATACACTTAAATGATATTTTTTTTTCTATTCTTCATAAAAAGGAGAAAAAGGAATTCTCTCAGCTTTCAATGACATTATTGATTTTTTAAATTATTACAACTCGAACTTCACGAATATTTTTAATACGTATATTTATCAGTATTTTCAGATATTTTGTTTAATTTTAAGAAATTTACTTACATTGAATACTAGATGGTTAAGTATACTATTGAATCATTTTAAATCTTATTAATGTAGATTATTTTTCCATATATGAATCAATAAAATATAATTAGATGACATAAATTTAGTATTCAAATCGTCAACTATTTCATTACAATACTGCGAGTATTAATTAATTTTAAAACGAATATTATTAAAATGATTATCAGAAATATATATTTACAATTAAAGTGTTATTATTATCACTAATAAGTAATAATACATTATTAAGTAATATATATTATTGATAATATTTTCAAATAATATAAGTATTTTTAATGCTTCTTCTAAATTAATTTCTATTAGTGATAAGTTTGTAGAAATTTATATTTATATGTATTGTGTTGCCATCTGTTATAGCTGTAAATTAGTGTTTTATAGTAGAAATGAACTTATGAAAAGTATATTCAGAAATTATGGGTATAATTTTAATTTTTGTATTCCTAATATATCATATACAATAGTAAAATAACTTAACATTTCTATTAATTTTTCAGTTAAAATTATTAAAAAAAATTACATATTAAAAGTGTGTATAGATGTGTATATGTATATATAAATTTTGAGAAAAATTACGTCTAGTTTTGGTTAAAAATAAAAAAGAAAGAGCCTTTAAGTAAAATCATATTTTTGAAATTTTACAAGAAAAATTACAATCATAATTTATATAGAATTGACAATAATTTTTTGTTAAGTGTTTAGAATCCAAGGATAATACATAAGATAAGAAGATCTAAGAAACAAAATTTCCCCGAAAAATTATCACTATATATTTCAATTTGTTTGTCATACATAATAAAATTACTATAATTTTGATATTTCCCAAAGTTTCAAGTCCAGCAAATACAAACCTCGTAGTTTCCCAGTAAAACACACATAAAACACCCTTAAAATTCACATGACTACGCCAACAAGAGTATTTTGAGTGTTTGTCTGTTCCTCTTTTCTACAAATTGAAATATCCGCCATTGTTATCGTCAGCTTTTGACTCTGGTTTGACAAAGAAAAAGGAAAACTCCACTTTATATCTGCGAGCAGATGAGCACTCGCTAGGGTGACATGAGCGTAGGGAATTAAAGCACAGCACTCTCATAAAAGGTACCCAAGTGCCGGAAATCAGCTTGCACTCCTCAATAGCTTGCATACTATCATTCACTATTTCCTATTTCTCTACGTAAATATAGTTGTCCCTGTCTGCAAATCCTTCTCCCTTTACATTTATTATCGTTATTATTTTTGGAAATTTTTTGTCCACTACATACTATGCATTTTTAAAAGTAATTAGAATAATTACGTGTAATATGTTGTTATAGAATAAAAATATATAATCAAAGAGCTTTTTTGAAACTGAAACGCTAATAATTTTTTTTCCTTTTAAACCTAACAAATAAATAGAATTGCAACCGATCGATATAAATTGAAAGTATTTTTAATACAGACCGTATATAATTTTCATGATTTAGCTTTCAAATATTATTGGTTTTGGTAAAAATGTTTAAATGCATTCAATAAAGCATAAAGATGATTATTTAAAAAAAAGACAATTTTTTCAATTTTTATAACACATAAAATAAAAAGTAGAATAAAATAATTTACCAAGATATTTATCAATGTAAGTTACTAAGATAATTGTTAAAATTAAATGATACTTGATTAATGTATTATAAATATTTAAATACCCAAT